TTATGTACATAGTGTGCAATGTATGTACATAGTACTGCAATGTACATAGTGTGACAGTGTGCACTTAATGTAATGTACATAGTGTGACAGTGCACTTAATGTAATGTACATATGTGTGACAGTGCACAGTGCACCTGCAATACACATAGTGTGACAGTGCACTTAATGTAATGTACATAGTGTGACAGTGCACTTACTGCAATGTACATAGTGTGACAGTGCACTTAATGTAATGTATATAGTGTGACAGTGCACTTACTGCAATGTACATAGTGTGACAGTGCACTTAATGTGCACTTACTGCAATGTACATAGTGTGACAGTGCACTTACTGCAATGTACATAGTGTGACAGTGCACTTAATGTAATGTACATAGTGTGACAGTGCACTTAATGTAATGTACATAGTGTGACAGTGCACTTACTGCAATGTACATAGTGTGACAGTGCACTTAATGTAATGTACATAGTGAGACAGTGCACTTACTGTAATGTGTACATAGTGTGACAGTGCACTTAATGTAATGTACATAGTGTGACAGTGCACTTACTGTAATGTACATAGTGTGACAGTGCACTTAATGCAATGTACATAGTGTGACAGTGCACTTAATGCAATGTACATAGTGTGACAGTGCACTTACTGCAATGTACATAGTGTGACAGTGCACTTAATGTAATGTATATAGTGTGACAGTGCACTTAATGTAATGTACATAGTGTGGCAGTGCACATTAATGACATGCACATAGTGTGACATGTGCACATAGTGTGACAGTGTGCACTACTACTGTAATGTACATAGTGTGACAGTGCACTTAATGCAATGTACATAGTGTGACAGTGCACTTACTGTAATGTACATAGTGTGACAGTGCACTTAATGTAATGTGCACTTAATGTAATGTACATAGTGTGACAGTGCACTTAATGTAATGTACATAGTGTGACAGTGCACTTAATGTAATGCATAGTGTGACAGTGCACTTACAATGTAATGTACATAGTGTGACAGTGCACTTACTGTAATGTACATAGTGTGACAGTGCACTTACTGCAATGTACATAGTGTGACAGTGCACTTACTTATGTAATGTACATAGTGTGACAGTGCACTTACAGTGTACATAGTGTGACTTGCACTTACTGTAATGTACATAGTGTGACAGTGCACTTAATGCAATGTACATAGTGTGACAGTGCACTTAATGTAATGTACATAGTGTGACAGTGCACTTAAATGTAATGTACATAGTGTGACAGTGCACTTACATAGTGTGTGCACTTAATGTAATGTACATAGTGTGACAGTGCACTTACTGTAACATGTATACATGTGACAGTGTGACTTACTGTAATGTACATAGTGTGACAGTGCACTTAATGTAATAGTGTACATAGTGTGACAGTGCACTTAATGTAATGTACATAGTGTGACAGTGCACTTAATGTAATGTACATAGTGTGACAGTGCACTTAATGTGTGTACATAGTGTGACAGTGCACTTAATGTAATGTACATAGTGTGACAGTGCACTTAATGTAATGTACATAGTGTGACAGTGCACTTACTGTAATGTACATAGTGTGACAGTGTACAATGTATAGTGTGACAGTGCACTTAATGTAATGTACATAGTGTGACAGTGCACTTACTGTAATGTACATAGTGTGACAGTGCACTTAACTGTAATGTACATAGTGTGACAGTGCACTTACTGTAATGTACATAGTGTGACAGTGCACTGTTGTATTTAATGTAATGTACATAGTGTGACAGTGCACTTAATGTAATGTACATAGTGTGACAGTGCACTTAATGCAATGTAATGCACATAGTGTAATGTGCATAGTGATGCAATGCACTTTAATAGTGTACATAGTGTGACAGTGCACTTAATGTAATGTACATAGTGTGACAGTGCACTTACTGTTGTGTACATAGTGTGACAGTGCACTTACTGTAATGTACATAGTGTGACAGTGCACTTACTGTAATGTACATAGTGTGACAGTGCACTTAATGTAGTGCACATAGTGTGACAGTGCACTTAATGTAATGTACATAGTGTGACAGTGCACTTAATGTAGTGCACATAGTGTGACAGTGCACTTAATGTAATGTACATAGTGTGACAGTGCACTTAATGTAATGTACATAGTGTGACAGTGCACTTACTGTTCTGTACATAGTGTGACAGTGCACTTACTGTTGTGCACATAGTGTGACAGTGCACTTACTGTAATGTACATAGTGTGACAGTGCACTTACTGTAATGTACATAGTGTGACAGTGCACTTACTGTAATGTACATAGTGTGACAGTGCACTTACTGTAATGTACATAGTGTGACAGTGCACATACTGTAATGTACATAGTGTGACAGCGCACTTACTGTAATGTACATAGTGTGACAGCGCACTTACTGTTGTGTACATAGTGTGACAGTGCACATACTGTAATGTACATAGTGTGACAGTGCACTTAATGTAATGCACATAGTGTGACAGTGCACTTACTGTAATGTACATAGTGTACCAGTGCACTTAATGTAATGTACATAGTGTGACAGTGCACTTACTGTAATGCACATAGTTTGACAGTGCATTTACTGTAATGTACATAGTGTGACAGTGCACTTAATGTAAAGCATATAAGATAGTAGTGCAAGTAATCAAATGTAAGTGAAGCATGTAACTTGTCCCTCACTGAATGTTAGCCACTGCTTAAATACAGCCGTTACTTCACCAGCAATCTGCTGACACATTTTAATCCCCCATCACTCCAAGCAAAAGCATATTTTGATATGCCTGCAACAAAGATGACATTGAAATTTCAGATCAATGATGTTCGAAACCTCAAAGGGTATGAGAGAAAATTTTATGATCAATACACCATCTGGAAAACAAGTTTTCTGTGATCAAAAATATTTTTGTTTCATTAGGTGTCCATGGCAGCTAAACTATCATAACAGCTGTGTTAGAGATCCGATGGCTAACCTGGGGTCATAAATACATTACTCCTTGGATCAAAACAAAATGTTGAGACAAGAGGAGTCCCTACTCCAGGTGAGCTACAGTGGTCTCCACCTGCATGGCTTATGTACATACATCTACAACATCATCCCATAAACACTTAAACTTGTCAATAACCATGCTATTGTAACATCAGTCTACAAACAGTCGTAAAGGAATCTGCTTATTGACCAGATCCAGATCCTCAAAGTGATGAGAAACAATATATTGTCCAACCATTATCAGCTCCTGTTGACGCACTACCTACTGGACACCCCTCCAACACAGTACATCATCAACAGTGTCGCCTACCCTCCAGCACAGTACATCATCAACAGTGTCCCCTACCCTCCAACACAGTACATCATCAACAGTGTCCCCTACCCTCCAGCACAGTACATCATCAACAGTGCCCCCTACCCTCCAACACAGTACATCATCAACAGTGTCCCCTGCACTCCAACACAGTACATTATCAACAGTGTCCCCATCATCAACAGTGTTCCCTGCCCTCCAACACAGTACATCATCAACAGTGTCCCCTACCCTCCAACACAGTACATCATCAACAGTGTCCCCCACCCTCCAACACAGTACATCATCAACAGTGTTCCCTGCCCTCCAACACAGTACATCATCAACAGTGTCCCCTACCCTCCAACACAGTACATCATCAACAGTGTCCCCCACCCTCCAACACAGTACATCATCAACAGTGTCCCCTGCCCTCCAACACAGTACATCATCAACAGTGTTCCCTGCCCTCCAACATGGTACATCATCAACAGTGTTACCTGCCCTCCAACACAGTACATCATCAACAGTGTTCCCTGCCCTCCAACACAGTACATCATCAACAGTGTTCCCTGCCCTCCAACATGGTACATCATCAACAGTGTTCCCTGCCCTCCAACACAGTACATCATCAACAGTGTTCCCTGCCCTCCAACATGGTACATCATCAACAGTGTCCCCTACCCTCCAACACAGTACATCATCAACAGTGTTCCCTGCCCTCCAACATGGTACATCATCAACAGTGTCCCCTACCCTCCAACACAGTACATCATCAACAGTGTTCCCTGCCCTCCAACATGGTACATCATCAACAGTGTTCCCTGCCCTCCAACACAGTACATCATCAACAGTGTTCCCTGCCCTCCAACATGGTACATCATCAACAGTGTTCCCTGCCCTCCAACACAGTACATCATCAATAGTGTCCCCTACCCTCCAACACGGTACATCATCAACAGTGTTCCCTGCCCTCCAACACAGTACATCATCAACAGTGTTCCCTTGTACCGTAACTGTGGGAGGTTGTTCAGTTCACCTGATACAGATAAATACCACAGTATGTTAGAAATGATATGGAAATAGAAATACATTTGAATGGAAACAGAAATTAACACATGTCATCTACATTCATAAAAAGTGTTGAAGGAGTTCCAATTTGTAGCAACCTGACAGAGGGAGTGACTGGCTGCCACTGCTGTTGGCATCAGCTGTAGACTGTGGCTTTCTGTTCTAAATGTCAGGATTCCATTGTTGCTCGGTAAAAATACAAATATATATTATAACCAATATAACTTTCGAACCTTTTCAGACCATCAAAGCTTCATTTATTGTGTAGCAGTGCTTTTCCTTGGCATTTGATATAGATGAGATTGAGACCCACAGTGATATCAGCTCAAGTGTAGAAGTAGTATTTCATAGACAAAGTTGATATCCTAACCTGACACAGCTGCTTTTAGACATGGGTATACTTGCACAAAGTGATCTTAGTGCTTCGACATTGGCAACTCCCATGATATAGAATTACAAAAATCATAGCGCTAAGATTGTTCTGCACAATATTACATTAAAGTGAACAAAGTAATTACTGAGGTATTCTGTTGTGAATAAAACCAGTTCATTCATTGCCATTTTGAAACACAAAAGAATTGAAAATTTATCACCAAAGTATGTTTTTCAATAATTCTTACCTAACTATTCCTGTTATGAATGTGTCCAGGGCCTGTCCTCCTGGTGTTTTACTACCACCGGTACAGTGTATGACTCCTATCTCCTGGTGCACAGTCCTGGGGGGCAGGCACACTCCAGCAGCAGCAACACTAACTCCTTCCCTTTACCATCTAAAATTCAACAGCCATCAATACAACACTCCTGTGTCTTTTACTAGCCACTTGGTGAGTCAGTGAACCGCAGTGAACTAGAGTGAACTTGGAAACAATTAGTGAGATTATCAATCAGTGACACTCCAGTGTTTACACCCGATGGCGGTTCAAGGATTCACTGAACCATGAATGGAGATCTATTGTATCAGTTATCTGTGACAATCCTTCCATACTGTGACAGTGCTCCAATGCGTGAACGCCAACTACAGCCACGCTTGCTGTCCGTCAATTGACTTTCACAACATCACGCACAATTCAAACATTTACAGACGGTGTTTGAAGTTGCGACCAATCCACAACAGACCTTCCTCCTCCCCCTCCCACACCAGTGATAAACGAAGGTACCTTGGCACAAAACTTTACCTGGTGTTGATTCCCCAATCCAGGTGAACACTCCACTGGTCTTGCATAAGAGCAGCAATGTTAAAGGGCTGATGAGACTGTTGCCATAAAGGAAGAGCTACTGATGTGGGCAAGAAGCAAATGCCAGCATATACGTCTAACATAGAGCCTCACATCATCGGAAATATTGACATTTTCCACAAATAAATAACAAAACTATTACTATTTAAAACATAACTGGTACTCATATTTCTACAGTGCTGGTCCTGCACTATTACTGGGTTTTGTGTGCTCTCCAGCAATACATTCTGATCAAGCATCTCAAAGCATTTACTTACTTCAGCAATATGTTTTTGTAGACCTTACAAATCCATATCAGAATCAACATTAACTAATATTCCATCATGAGCAAATTTCAGAAAAGAATCAACATTTAAACTCCATTATTAGCATGATGTAATACTGAGTCAATGTTATTTTTCTTTTAATTTTGAAGCACTTAAAAATCTTACAGTATCAAAAGTACATTCAAGTATGTAACTTTCAACACGATATAAATAAAAACATTTTACCAAAGGTTTTCCATTTCCCTGTAGAATAATGACATCGTCATGGTAACATGATCTAAGCAAAAGTGCTACAGGATATTAACAAAATAATCAAGCAGCTACAAAAGAAAACAGTAAAGAAGGTAAAATTTCCTGTTTACAGGGTTGTGACATTTTAAGACAAAGTGGTTTTTCTTCTGTGAATGACCAAACTCCGCAGTCGGTGATGCCAGTGACTGAGCGTAACCAACATATCAATATGCACCTTACAACACACCAGCTCACTTCAAGGCAGGGGGACGGAGATAAGGGAGGACATTTACGCCTCATTAACTTGACACTGAGACACAAACATCATTAGTGCACAGAAATCCCCTTCTTCAACCCTCACTTAAAGCACATTCATCTCACCCAAGACCTGGACGAAGGCTGACAGTTACAACCACAGGCCACAGGATTATGTGGCCCACCATCCCTGGGTGGGAGTAACATTGTGTGTGTCTGTGATGGTGTGTGTCTGTGATGGTGTGTGTGTGGTGGTGTGTGTCTGTGATGGTGTGTGTAGGATGGAGCATGTGTGTCTGTGATGGTGTTTCTGTGATTGTGTGTGTGTGGTGGTGTGTGCAGGATGGAACGTGTGTATCTGATGGTGTGTGTAGGATGGAACGTGTGTGTCAATGATGGTGTGTGTCTGTGATGGAGCCTGTGTGTAGGATGGAACTTGTGTGCCTCTGATGGAGCTTGTGTGTCTGTGATGGAGCTTGTGTGTCTGTGATGGAGCATGTGTGCCTGTGATTGAGCCTGTGTGTCTGTGATGGAGCCTGTGTGTCTGTGATGGAGCCTGTGTGTCTGTGATGGTGGTGCAGCATGTTGCCTTTGATAGAGTACATTAAACAAGCTTATTATAACAGTAGTTACTGTATGTGGGAGTGTTGGTGTTGTGGAGGTGACAGAGTTCCTCCTCCAGCCTTCTTGCCATTGACTTGTCAGTGTGAGGTGCAGTCAGGATGCATTACATGCAAGTAACTCCCTGTTGTCCGTGCCTGCACACACAACATCACTCTACTCCCTCTGCCTTTATACACACATGGACTTCATCCTCCACACTTCTTTCAGTGAAGATGGATGCCTTTATATCCTCCATGGAACAAGTTGATTGTATTGATAGGAGTGTGCAGATGTAGATAGGAGTTTCGAAACCAAACTGACAGATTGATAAATAACATGAATGTATATAGCGGAAAATATGAGTTTTGAGGGAGAGATGAAGATTTTTACTGTAGATATTAATTGAGATTGCTTTATGCTATAAAACATCACATGCAATTAACCCCTTCATCATAAGCATACAGCTTTCTGCAATAACTGCTGCAGCAAGTTATCCACCAATGGAGCCTGTGCAGGAGGAATGCTCAAACTTTCTACATGTAAATCAAACTTTCTTTCCCAAATACATAAGCCAAACTATTTAATCCAGACCTCTAAGATGGCAGATTTTCTGCAATGTGATGAGGTGCCCAGCCTTTGATGATGCTAACTGGGAAGTCATTGTTGTGAGACCCTTCCCTCAACATCAGCCAGAGAAAAGACTGTTCAGTCAAAAACAATGATAACAAAAGGATAAGAAAGGTAACAGAAGAGTTAACAGAATCAGTATAATACATTCACATAATAAACCTGGAGTCATTGCATATCAACACATTTTCCTCAACAGGCAGAAATCTTGTATCAACAACTGACATTACATTGTACTATGGTGTCACTGAGAGACACAACGTTAGACATCTACACTATCAGACATCAGGTTGTACCATGGTGTCATTCAGAGACACAACGTTAGACATCTACACTATCAGACATCAGGTTGTACCATGGTGTCATTTAGAGACACAACGTTAGACATCTACACTATCAGACATTAGATTGTACCATGGTGTCACTGAGAGACACAACGTTAGACATCTACTCTATCAGACATCAGGTTGTACCATGGTGTCATTTAGAGACACAACGTTAGACATCTACACTATCAGACATTAGGTTGTACCATGGTGACATTTAGAGACACAACGTTAGACATCTACACTATCAGACATTAGATTGTACCATGGTGTCAATGAGAGACACAACGTTAGACATCTACTCTATCAGACATCAGGTTGTACCAAGGTGTCATTTAGAGACACAACGTTAGACATCTACTCTATCAGACATTAGATTGTACCATGGTGTCACTGAGAGACACAACATTAGACATCTTCACTATCAGACATTAGGTTGTACCATGGTGTCATTTAGAGACACAACGTTAGACATCTTCACTATCAGACATTAGGTTGTACCATGGTGTCATTCAGAGACACAACGTTATACATCTTCACTATCAGACATTAGGTTGTACCATGGTGTCATTCAGAGACACAACGTTAGACATCTTCACTATCAGACATTAGATTGTACCATGGTGTCACTGAGAGACACAACGTTAGACATCTACACTATCTATCAGACATCAGGTTGTACCATGGTGTCATTCAGAGAGACAAAGTTATACATCTACACTATCAGACATTAGGTTGTACCATGGTGTCTCTTAGAGACACAACGTTAGACATATACACTATCAGACATTAGGTTGTACTGTGGTGTCAGTAGAATTTCATATCCTCCCTACATATTGTCTAGCATGACATACAGCCATAGATACTCTTCTCACAGTAATACCAAGCCCACCCACCTACCAGTGTGTCCTGGCTCCCACTTCCGCTGTATCAAGTCAGTGTATGGAGACTGGGCATTCACCAGGGCAATGACACAGTAGTGGCCACATCCAGCCTTTCACCAACTTTTCAATGGGATTTCGACACCAGCATTCAGAATAGAGGCCTGGTAGCCCTTTCTATAAGCAATGGAAAATTGTACAAAAGAAAGGGAAGTCATTTCATCATTTCACAACACTGATATTTAAACATTTAATGATCACTAATTTTGTGTGACTTTCTTTTTAATGCTATCTTTGCATTGACTGCTGTAAGGCTCTATAATCAGTGTTTGGAGGTACAGATGGGGGGTTGTCAAGGGATCTGAATGACTGCTGTAAGGCTCTATAACCAGTGTCTGGAGGTACACATGGGAGGTTGTCTAGGGATCTGAATGACTGCTGTAAGGCTCTATAACCAGTGTCTGGAGGTACACATGGGAGGTTGTCTAGGCATCTGAATGACTGCTGTAAGGCTCTATAACCAGTGTCTGGAGGTACACATGGGAGGTTGTCTAGGCATCTGAATGACTGCTGTAAGGCTCTATAACCAGTGTCTGGAGGTACAGATGGGAGGTTGTCAAGGGATCTGAATGACTGCTGTAAGGCTCTATAACCAGTGTCTGGAGGTACAGATGGGGGGTTGTCAAGGGATCTGAATGACTGCTGTAAGGCTCTATAACCAGTGTCTGGAGGTACACATTGGAGGTTGTCTAGGCATCTGAATGACTGCTGTAAGGCTCTATAACCAGTGTCTGGAGGTACAGATGGGAGGTTGTCTAGGCATCTGAATGACTGCTGTAAGGCTCTATAACCAGTGTCTGGAGGTACAGATGGGAGGTTGTCTAGGCATCTGAATGACTGCTGTAAGGCTCTATAACCAGTGTTTGGAGGTACAGATGGGAGGTTGTCTAGGCATCTGAATGACTGCTGTAAGGCTCTATAACCAGTGTCTGGAGGTACACATTGGAGGTTGTCTAGGCATCTGAATGACTGCTGTAAGGCTCTATAACCAGTGTCTGGAGGTACAGATGGGAGGTTGTCTAGGGATCTGAATGACTGCTGTAAGGCTCTATAACCAGTGTCTGGAGGTACAGATGGGAGGTTGTCTAGGCATCTGAATGACTGCTGTAAGGCTCTATAACCAGTGTCTGGAGGTACAGATGGGAGGTTGTCTAGGGATCTGAATGACTGCTGTAAGGCTCTATAACCAGTGTCTGGAGGTACACATGGGAGGTTGTCTAGGCATCTGAATGACTGCTGTAAGGCTCTATAACCAGTGTCTGGAGGTACAGATGGGAGGTTGTCTAGGCATCTGAATGACTGCTGTAAGGCTCTATAACCAGTGTCTGGAAGTACAGATGGGAGGTTGTCTAGGCATCTGAATGACTACTGTAAGTCTCTATAACCAGTGTCTGGAGGTACAGATGGGAGGTTGTCTAGGGATCTGAATGACTGCTGTAAGGCTCTATAACCAGTGTCTGGAGGTACACATGGGAGGTTGTCTAGGCATCTGAATGACTGCTGTAAGGCTCTATAACCAGTGTCTGGAAGTACAGATGGGAGGTTGTCTAGGCATCTGAATGACTGCTGTAAGGCTCTATAACCAGTGTCTGGAGGTACAGATGGGAGGTTGTCAAGGGATCTGAATGACTGCTGTAAGGCTCTATAACCAGTGTCTGGAGGTACACATGGGAGGTTGTCTAGGCATCTGAATGACTGCTGTAAGGCTCTATAACCAG